AGGTGTGAAAACGACCCAAAGAGGCAGAAAATGCAACAATGTATCATTTATAGCCCTTGGTCCAGACCAAATGAACCCAACTACAGATGTGAACGCACCCTTAAGGCTCCTACATACCGGGACGTTTTTAGTTTTCGTTTATCGGCAGCGTTTTATGAGACGTTTTTCAGTGTTCAAACCCAAGCGCTTTTCATTGGCGTCAAGCAGAAGAGTATGCTAAATCCCTCTTTTGTGATCCTCGCTGCTGGAATCAGCTTCCAGAAATGATTAGATGTGCTCCAACATTAGGCACATTCAAATCAAGACTGAAAACACATCTGTTTAGCTGTGCCTTTACTGAATGAGCACTGTGCTACGTCCGACGGATCGCACTATTATGTTTTTCATTTTCTTTTTCATTCTTTTATAGCCTATTTTAACTCATTTTAGTTTTTTTAAATAATTTTTATTGTCTGCATTTTATGTTCCTAAACTTGTCTTTTTTATTCCTGTTTATGTAAAGCACTTTGAATTGCCACTGTGTATGAAATGTGCTATGTAAATAAACTTGCCTTGCCTTTTGACGTTAGATGGCGCTGCACAACATTAAGCTTCTGACACCCGCTTATAACACAGAAGAAGAGTAGGAGAGGAAGTTCACACGTTTGTTTATAAAGTTACTGGTGACTCGAACAAGCATGGATAGTTCAAGCAGCAGCTCCAGCTCTAGCGATGAAGAAATGATTACTGTTTACCAGAGCAATAAGCAGCTCCACGTTCATATCGCCTCTGGGCATCTTCTTCAATGTGCGCTCGCATTGACAGTTTTGCGCTTGAGCGCCTCCAAGTGCTGTTTACTGTAACTTCAGCAGGTCCGTGCACGTGAACAAAAGTGCCGATCTGATTGGTGGAGAAGGTTTTGACGCCGCACGTCACAACAACAAAACGAGCATGAGGCGGTTTTTTAAAAATGACGCTTTTGCGCCTGCCGTTTTGCGCGTTGGTAAGCATGATCACATTGACAGCCTTTCTTTAGTTACGAGGCGTTAAACGTCGACGGAGAACGTCTCGGTGTGCACAGGCCTTTAGACTTCTTTTTTTAAATTTTGATAGACTTTTTTTTTTAATTCTGAGTTTTATTCTCTCAATCTTTACTTGACTTATATTTTGTAATTTTGACTTTGTCGGTTCATTCTGCTGTGGTGATCCCTGAAAGGGACAAAGCCGAAGGAAAAAGAATGAATGAATGAATGAATTTCACAGTTTTGACTTCTGAAATATTTAGATTTTTTTTTCCTCTGGAGATTTTATTTTAATTTTATTTCTTATAATTCTTCATGTGGTGACGCAGTGGCGCAGTAGGTAGTGTTGTCGCCTCACAGCAAGAAGGTCGCTGGTTTGATCCTCGGCTCAGTTGGCATTTCTGTGTGGAGTTTGCATGTTCTCGCTGTGTTCGCGTGGGTTTCCCCACAGTCCAAAGACATGTGGTACAGGTGAATAGGGTGGGCTAAAATTGTCCGTAGTTCATAAGTGTGTGTGTGAATGTGTGTGTGGATGTTTCCCAGAGATGGGTTGCGTCTGGAAGGGCATTCGCTGCGTAAAAATGTGCTGGATAAGTTGGCGGTTCATTCTGCTGTGGCGACCTCGGATTAATAAAGGGAATAAGCAAACAAGAAAATGAATGAATGAATGAATGAATTCTTCATGTCAAGAACTTTATAATTCTCATAAGACTTTTTCCTCACAATTCTGACTTTTCTCTCATGGTGTTTCCATAATGAACATCTCCAGCAGTCGGATTTTTTTTCATCTCGATTTCGACTCTTTATTTTTAAAATGAACATTTGTAGTTTTACTATTTTAAATCTCACTATTCTCCTACAACATGTCATTTTCTATTTGCTTTCAGAGACGAGCTCGCATAAATATTCAGTACAGCTGAAAGAGCTTAAACCGAATGAGATGTTACAGATGGCCGCCACACTATATAAATCACTTCACATCTACCTCTATGTTTATGATTATGCAATAAAAACAACGCAATGCCAGACGCCTTGTAGATCGTGTGAAAGGAACTTGCAGCAGTCGTTTCTCACAAACATCTGTGACTGGATGTAAACCAATCAGCGCCTCTGACAGCGGTCTGATCAAGCAGATTTTGCGTGTGTTAAATGAAGTAAATAAGACGCTGGAAACAGCAGAAATGAAGCGCTGCACGTCCACAGATACAAACTCGGTAAACAACCCTGACAGATCCTTCATTCTGGGACGGGATCTTTTTGCAATTTGCGCTAAACTGTCTAGCACAGCCTCTTATTTACCGCCGTATGCTCTGGTAATAAGCAGGATTTGACTCTGGGAAAAAAAAAAAACTTGAAAGATTAAAGCTGCCACATAATGAGAAATCAATTTGGCTGGATCTGTCCAAACAGCAGAGGTCTGAAAACTCTTTTACGGTGTGAAGTCCATCTGTTGAGACCGAACTTCTGAACTTTCAACACGTGAGATGAGAGCATGAGCAGATCTTTAAATATAGAGGTGAGTATCGGTGCAGTAGTATCTGGGTGCAGCCTTTAAGATGCAAGCGGAGACTGCATACCTCAGCGATGCAATGTCACTCAATGGAGCTAGCGATGCCACTGTGAAGGGGTAGGGTTAGGTGAGCACATCAAAAGGCATTGGGTGAATTATTTGCGTCTAAATCAAAAGTGTTTACAGAATGTACTGTGGCCACTTTATTAGGTACACCTTATTTGCCTTTTGAACTTAATCCTTCGTGGAATTCAACTAGGTACTGGAAATATTCCTCAGAGATTTTGCTCCATATTGACATGATAGCATCACACAGTGGCTGCAGATTTGTCGGCTGCACATCCATGATGCCAATCTCCCGTTCCACCACATCCCAAAGCTGCTCTATTGGATTGAGATCTGCTGACTGTGGAGGCCTTTTGAGTTTGTAACGAGTGCTTATTTGAGTTACTGTTGCCTTTCTATCAGCTGGAACCAGTCTGGCCATTCTCCTCTGACCTCTGGCGTCATCAACAAGGCATTTGCGCCCACAGAACTGCCGCTCACTGGATATTTCCTCTATGTCAGACCATTCTCTGTAAACCCTAGAGATGGTTGTGCGTGAAAATCCCAACAGATCAGCAGATTCTGAAATACTCAGAGCAGCCCGTCTGGCAGCAACAACCATGCCACGTTCAAAGTCTCTTAAATCCCCTTTCTTCCCCATTCTGATGCTCACTTTGAACTGCAGCAGATCGTCTTGATCATGTCTACATGGCTAAATGCATTGAGTTGCTGCCATGTGATTGGCTGATTAGAAATTTGCATTAACGAGCAGTTGGTCAGGTGTACCTAATAAAGTGGCCAGTAAATGTATATGCACACCCACACACAAAATATTATGTTGCTTCTGAATTATATTATACTATATTATATTATAAAAATAATTTTACTAATAATGTTATACAATATTAAAAATGTCTTAAACGTTTTAAGTTGCTCAAATCACAAAAAAAGCAGTTTATTTATAAAAAAAAATAAGATGAAAATAATCTTAAATATATCAAATAAAAGTGATAACTAACAATACAATTTCAATAAAAACTTGCGGTGGGTCGTTTTCACCATTAACATGCTGTGTTAACGTGAGATCGTGCGATAAAAAATATTGCCGTTAATCTCTCATAGATGAGTTGGGAGCTGGGTCTGTTCTACGCAAGCGATGAGGACTTTCACTTTGATATTTTAGCGTGGATGTATACCTGACCGGTGAGCTGTCTGACAAACAAGTGCCGTTCTGAATCAACTCAGCAGGATGGCTTTCTGGATCTTTCACCTACTTTGAAGACACGACTGACTATGATTACATGGAGATCTGTAGTCTAGTTATTTGCCTAAATAGATAACAATATAATTAAGGTGTTTACATGAAGAGCTTTCATGTAAGACTTCCTGTAATTTTGGGTGACTTTAACTGCAGTTCGGCAGTTTCACCTACAGTTCACTCATGAACATTTCATTCATGTCCCCGTGACAAACTGGGGTATTAGATGCAAATAAGGAGTGAGGACTGGTGAGAGTGATATGGATTTTAATAAAGCATGGAGAGGAAATGGAGTGGAAAAAAAAAAAACATTCGCATTTCGCGATGTGTGTGAGTGTGTATGTGTGTGTGTGTGTGTGGATCTTGTCGGAAAATAGGTTGAAAAGTCCAACATGACGGTAGTTTGATGGCGGTGTTTACTTAAATAATGCCACTAATATCTGCATATACTCCACATGTCTTAATTCCATTTCTGTTTAGTTCAGTGTAATGAAGCTTACGGCCCTTTGGCCGCCGGGAAGAAGGAGGCGGAGAACCGACGCAGTTTTTAAAATATTTATTTATAACATGAACGGCAAGTCCTCACGGAGACTGCCGTCTAAACCAAAACAAACGGACGGCAGGTCCTCACGGAGACTGCCGTCAAACTGAAAGCAAAAGTAAATGTCCGGGCCCAGTCCTCTCTCGGCTTCCTCTGCCATCGTTCCTCCTTTTATCGTCCAGAGCTCCTTCCGTGGGATCCGAAGCAGGTGCGCACCGCAGGTGTATCCACTTACGCGGTGGCCTCACTCCGTTCCCACGGCTCTCAGCCACGCCCCCTCACCACATTCAGTTATGCCTTTGGTTGGATTAAGATCATCAAAAATGGCTGTTTGGAGCTTATGTAGGCCTACAGTTCAACATTCATGTTTAACTGAATACACAGTTAGTAAACACAAGTACATCTTATTGAATATCATTTATTTTCATCATCAATTATCATAGATGAACAGTTTCTCAAGCAGTTTGTGATGCATTTTGGAAACAGGAGTGGATCCCCTGGTCTAATGCGCCACCTTGCCTGAGAAACCTGTTCTAAAAGACTTACTCTTAGTGATTACTTGGGTAGCACACATATTCTGAATGCCTTCGGCAGAATTCAAATGAGCCATTTTAATCTAGATTAATTCTAAGAAACAGTGAGATTAATCTACATTAAAAAATATCTATGCCCACCTATAATACTTAAAAAACCTAATTACACAAATAAAAACTGCAATATTATTCAATATTAAAACGTCAATATTATTGCCAATATCAATAGGCGGAAAATACATCTTCCCACCGCATGCGTCAGGACGGCGTTTGGAGCGACACTCGGTGGGTTTTGGAGAAAACAGGTCTTTTTCTGTCTCCGCAAGCTTCACTCCTACTACAACACATGAATAATGAAGGTCTGTGATGCTGATATTTGTCACCATCCAGACTGACACATTAATCACCACATGAAATATGAACCACAAACTCTTAATAAACTCTTATAAATAACTTTTGTTCTCACCATGTCTGAAGTCTGGCATTGTATTGTTGATATAAAAATAGCACTGAGTGATGCTGTAAAAGACGCACAGACAATTCAAGCTTTAATTCATTAGGAGTTAATGTGAAACCCATTTCATTACAGAAAATATTAGCTTACAAAAAATAATTGCATCATACATTAATTCAGGATGGCATGGTGGTTCAGTGGTTAGCACTGTGGCCTCACAGCAAGAAGGTTGCTGGTTCGAGTCCCGGCTGGGTCAGTTTGCTCTTCTATGTGGAGTGTGCATGTTATTCCCGTGTTGACGTGGGTTTCTTCCGGGTGCTCCAGTTTCCCCCACATTCCAAACACATGCGCTGTAGGGAAATTGATGAACTAATTTGTTTTATTTCGGCTAGAATAAAAGCAGTTTTATATTTTTAACCCATTTTAAGGTCAATATTATTATCCCCCTTAAGCCATATTTGTTTTAGATTGCCTATTGCTACAAGCACCAGCGATCCCACAGTTAAGAACTACAAATACCGTCATGCACTTCGTACACACCGGTTCCTGTTTCATTTTGATTACATGCACACACACACAGCTGGAGGATAGTTACGGACTGATGACATGGACTTTAAATACAGCACACACACACACACACACACACACACACCTTGGCTGGATCTTGTTTATCCGTTAAAGTAACATTAAAAAGCTTTTTGCCTTGCCTTGTCTTTTCGTTGCTTTGTTTGTTGTGTTTATGTTGTTATCCGCCTGCATCAACCACTTGCCTGTTTATTGACCACTATTTTGGATTAGTTTGTATAAATAAATCCTGCATTTGGATCTGCATTTAAAGGGCACCTATTTTACCCTTTTTTAAGATTTAATATTAATATTCTGGTGTTCTGAGTGAGCCAGCTTAGGTTCAGTTCAAAACACAGTTCAGATGTTTTTATTATAATGTGTTAAAAATGTGTCATGTTGGGGGTGTTTACACAGCTCGCTGTTTTAGGGGTGTGTTGCTTCACATGAAAATTACTTTCGACTTCCCGCCCAACTAAACAAGGGGGCGGAGCCAGAAGCTCCCCTACTTTGTGTATGGCAACAGACAGGCAGACAGAGAGAAGCAGCATGAGTGAAAGCACCAGCATTCAGCCGTACATGTACGACCTGGACACAGACCAAGTGGAGACGACTGTTGAGGAATCAATATTCCTAATGTGCCAGAATGTGTCAGAGTGGCAGTTTCAAAATCATTCGTGTCTTTGTATAGTTTTACAGCAACTATTTAACGATGTATGCATCATCTGTATTGACCTTATTCTAAAATGCGGAAGTGCGCCTGTTTTCGCGATTGTCTTAGAACTTCCGTTTCAGTCGCCTATGGGAGAAATGACAAGGAATAATAAACGGCAAAAAACGGTCAAACTACTTGCTCTACAAACAAATGTTTGCATGACTATACAGACCAAGTAGAATAATATAACAAGGAAATATCAGTTTACAACATCAAACAGCGAAACGAGCAGTTTTTAATGTCTAAAAATGAATGGAAGTGAATGAGACCGGAAGTCTCGTGCCAAAAAGATTCAAATGACAGCGCCCGCTCGTCTGCGGAGAATAAGGTCAATAGGGATGTAATATTTAACCAGTTTCACTATTAACAGGGCTTTAATTTGTCACAATTAATTAATCGTAAAGGCTTCTCAACATCATGTTTCTGCACTGAACAAAACTGCGGCAACTAAACAAAGTGATGCCAACTGTATGCTAGTATAAATTTTGAAGCTTGTACACTGAGACTTTTAACTAAGCACACTGGATTAACTTTGACTGAGGCTAAAACTAAGGCAAGTTCATTATTTCCAATAGAGGGACGCGCACGCGAGGCAACACACTCAAACTTTCCAGCCACACCTAGTTGAGATGATGGGGAGCTTCTGTGACCGCGGGAAATAAAAGACGGCTGAAGTTTAAGGAAGACGCAATAGAAAGTTCACAGGTTTGTAAACCTACCTAAAGTTACTAACAATGGCGCCAATGAGAGTAATCATGAGGTGAATGTTAATACGCCAGCCGAGATCAATCGAGTGATTTCAGAGAGAGAGCCGAAAGACACATTTACATTTAGTCATTTAGCAGACGCTTTTATCCAAAGCGACCTACAAATGAGGACAAGGAAGCAATTTACACAACTATAAGAGCAACAAGTGACAGGTCTGTAAAGTGTAGGAAGCAAAACATTAGTAATTTTTTTTTGTCTGTAATACAGTTAGTGGTGGAGTCAGAGAGGCAATTGCAGATTAGTAAGTGAAGTGGAGACTAAATAGTTGAGTTTTTAGTCGTTTCTTGAAGACAGCGAGTGACTCTGCCGTTTTGATGCAGTTAGGGAGTTCATTCCACCAACTGGGCAGATTGAATGCGAGAGTTCGGGAAAGTGATTTCTTCCCTCTTTGGGATGGAACCACGAGGCGACGTTCATTCACAGAACGCAAGTTTCTGGAGGACACATACATCTGCAGAAGTGAGAGCAGATAAGAAGGAGCAAAGCCAGAAGTCGCTTTGTAAGCAAACATCAGAGCTTTGAATTTGATGCGAGCAGCAACTGGCAGCCAGTGCAAACGGATGAGCAGCGGAAAATTATACTTCAGCTAAATGTAAAATCTTTGTTGCTCATTTGCAGGAAGACAATGAAGGCTCTTGTTTTGAGCCCAATGAGCCTTACGTCCAAAAGTAGAGCAAGGGTGTTTCTTTGGTGACATCGCTTTGACTCACATGCTGAAAACGGCGGATGTGAAACAACAAACTGAGGATATGGTAATGCGCGCATGTCAATCAATATTGGTGGGCGGGGGGACCGCACTTCTACATCAAGTTGCGATCGGTCTCAAAACCGCTGCAATTGGTCCACCTTTTTTCAAGGACTTGGTGTGTTTACATCACCCCAATATGACAGTTACCCTAACTTTACCCTAATTAACCTAGTTAAGCCTTTAAATGTCACTTTAAGCTGAATACTAGTGTCTTGAAGAATATCTAGTCTAATATTATATGTTGTCATCATGGCAAAGAGAAAATAAATCAGTTATTAGACATGAGTTACTAAAACTATTATGATTAGAAATGTGTCTTCTCTGTTAAACAGAAATTAGAGGAAATATTCAGGAGGGCGAATAATTATGACTGTTTATAATTTTACATATTTGTTGTTGATTTATTCTGGTCAGTTTTCTGCGGTGTAAACGGGGGAACAGCCGACAGAAGCAGATAAAACATCTCGGTGTTGTGGAGCAGATAATGATATCCGAATGCCGGCTCTTTCCTGAGGGTTTTAGTCCAGAGGTTTTTCTGTCAAGCTCAAAGCAGCAGAAAAAACTGATGAAATATCGATTGGCTTTGTTTCAGGATAATAGAGCAGAGACAGAAAGAGAAGGAGAAACTTCAGTTGAAAGTGCTCTTCGTCTCATATCAGACGCTCTTCTGTCTGCACTACTGCTGTATACCCAACATCAGAGACATGCAGAAACGTTTACAGGAGCTCGAGTGGGACAAAAAGACACTTGCATTCATTCATTCATTCATGCGTTCATTCATTCATTCATTTATTCACTCACTCACCCACTCACTCACTCATTCATTCTATCATTCATTCATTCACTCACTCACTTATTCATTCATTCTATCATTCATTTATTCATTCAATTATTCATTCATTCACTCATTCAGTTATTCATTCATTCATTCAATCATTCATTTATTCACTCACTCACTCATTCATTCATTAATTCAATTATTCATTCATTCATTCACTCATTCATTCATTCATCATTCATTCCTTCATTCATTCAATCATTCATTCATTCACTCACTCACTCACTCACTCATTCATTCATTCATTCATTCAGTTATTCATTCAATCATTCATTCACTCACTCATTCATTAATTCAATTATTTATTCATTAATTCACTCATTCATTCCTTTAATCATTCATTTACTCACTCACTCATTCATTCATTCAATTATTCATTCATTCATTCATTCATTCATTCATTCATTCATTCACTCACTCAGTTATTCATTCATTTAATCATTCATTCACTCATTCACTCACTCACTCACTCACTCACTCACTCACTCACTCACTCACTCACTCACACTCTCATTCATTAATTAATTAATTCATTCATTCATTCAATTATTCATTCATTCATTCATTCATTCATTCACTCATTCATTCATCATTCATTTTTCCTTAGCTTAGCCCCTTATTTATCAAAGGCTGCCACAGTGGAATGAACCGCCAACTATTCAGGCATATGTTTTACCCAGCGGATGCCCTCTCAGCCACAACCCCGTACTGGGAAACACCCATACACACTCATTTACACACACACACACACACACTCATACACTACGGCCAACTTAATTAATCAATTCCAAAGCACGTGTTTGGACTTGTGGTGGAAACCGGAGCACCCGGAGGAAACTCACACCAACATGGGGATAACATGCAAACTCCACAAAGAAATGTCGAGGCTCAAACCAGCGACCTTCTTGCTCGGAGGCGATTGCGATGCCCACTGCGCTGTCCAATTACATTTCTGTATATTTACTTTTTTTAGTATGCTTGGTTTTGATTTCTGTAGTACACATTTAAAGTTCCTGAAATCAATAAAGGCAGTGTTTAAAAAAAGCTATGTTGTTATATTATATTATTTTGTTATATTTTCAGAACTTTGACGTTGATGAAAATTCAGATTTTGCAGAAATTAGACATTAAGAACTCCTGATTCATTACTAACCTCTCTCTGTCTCTCTCTCTCTTTTAACAGATGAAAGGAAAGCATCTTGGCTCTCTGTCAGAGGTATAAAGCAGGTCTTCAGTAATGCAGTAGGTGTTTCATCTGTGTGGAAAGCGTGAAGTTCATCTTTCACCGCTGAAGCTCTGCATTAGTTTTGCTGTGGTTGGAGAGTTCGGCTTCAGACGTGATAAATGAGCAAGTCACATTACAGATGACGCGGTTCATCCCACTGAAACCTGCTGAGCTTTCTAATCGAGCGCAAATGCAGATTATTACGGCCGTCTGTAATAGACTGACTGTGAGAGCGCAAGTCAACATCAACGCAAAAGTAAAGTGCTGCAGAGCTGTTATTGGTTTAATAAGTCTCTTATTATCAGAGATGTATAGTAACGAAGTAGAACTACTTCACTACTGCACTTAAGTACTAAAAGGCAGTATCTGTAGTCTACTGGAGTATTGTTTTTTTCTTTTACTTCCACTTTTACTAAAGTACATATTTTCAATGAGTTTAATAACTTTACTCTGATAGATTTTTTATGTGCTGCATCGTTACTCGCTACTAGTGGTGTCAAAATCTATACTGGTTCAGTAATAGATCTTAACCGGTTATTACATACTGAGGTCATTTATCTCCTAGGCGTGATGTCGCAATACTATGGCGAAGAAAGCGTGGGCGAGTAAATAATGCTCTTACTACAATGAAGGCGGCACTGCACACGAGCCGCTATTTCACTACTACAGAGAAATGCTGTAAAACTCCATCTCTGCCTCTCTCTCTCTCTCACTTTGGACATTTGACCCACTGGGGTGTTTATGAGGTAACTTTTCCTCTCCTCTTGGCTGTTAAAGTGATACTTGTGGATCTAGACACAAGCGTACCTGTGGTGCGAGTTTTCTCCACTGTGTCTATTACAGATTATCTGTGATAACCACGTATTATCCGCATATAGACCCGCCATCGGTGAACATCGCTTTCATTTCTAAAGCCAATCACAGCTCTTTCTGTTGAGCTGGTGAAGATAATAACCAGTCATAGAAACCTCACCTGTCAGCGCTCAAAAAGCGAGCGGGAGAATATTTACATATTCTACAAACGAGTTTATTTGCTGTAAATGCTCATGCTGTCTTCTGTGCATGTGTTGGAGTTTTGTTTGAAACATTCAGAAAGTGTTTTCGTTGAGCAGGTCAAATTAAAGGTACAGTTCATATATCTTACTGCTGTGATTCTTTCATATTCATTTCGGCTTTGTCCCTTTATTAATCTGGGGTCGCCACAGCGGAATGAACCACCAACTTATCCAGAATCGGATGCCCTTCCGGCCACAACCCATCCCTGGGAAACATCCACACACAAACACTCATACACTACGGACAATTTAGCCTACCCAGTTCACCTGTACCACATGTGTTTGGACTGTGGGGGAAACCGGAGCACCCGGAGGAAACCCACGGGAACGCAGGGAGAACATGCAAACTCCACACAGAAACGTCAACTGATCCAGCCGAGGCTTGAACCAGTGAACATCTTGCTGTGAGGAAACAGCACTACCTACTGCGCCACTGCGTCAACTACTGCTGTGATAAAGGACTAAATTGTATTACAAATAATATATAAATAGGCGATGCAGTGATATTCACAAAAATTAACCCAACATTGGGTCAAACATGAACAAACACAACCATTGGGTTTAACAGTGTTATTCAAAATTAACTGATAAAATGAACCCAACGTTGAGTCAAATATGAAAAAAACAACTATTGTGTTCAAAAGTGTCATTTAATTTTAAAATAGGAACCCAACATTGGGTGAAATATGGACAAACCCAACTACTGGATTAAAAAGTGTCATTTATATTTAACTGAAATAAATTACCCCAACATGGGTTAAATACGGACAAACCCAACGATTGCGATAAAAATTGTCATTTAATTTTAATTGAAAATTTATCCCAACATTGGGTCGAATATGGACAAACTCGACAATTGCATGAAAAAAAGTCTCATTTAAATGTAACTAAAACAATTAACCCAACATTGTCAAATATGAACAAACAAACAACTAGGTTAAAACATATTATTTAATTTTTATTAAAAAAAAATAACCCAAAGTTGGGCCAAATATGGACAAACCAACCATTGCGTTAAAAAAAGTGTCATTTAATTTTACATGAAAAAATTAACCCAATGTTGGGTCAATTATAAACAAATTCAACCACTGGGTGAAAAAGTTTCAATTACATTTATTTGAAAAAATACATCCAAAGTTGTGTCAAATATGGACAAACTCAGTGGGTTAAATAAAGCATAACTTAAATTTAATTCAAAATGTTAACTTAACATTGAATCAAATATGGACAAACACAACTATCGGGTTAAAATAGTGTCATTTCAGTTTTACTGAAATGAACAATTAAGTGACAATTTAATAGAAAATAAAGCAAATGTTGAGTCAAATATGGAGAAACCCCAACAATGGGTAAAACAGTGTCATCTAAATTTAGTAAAAATAAATAAATAAATCCAATGTTGAGTCAAAAATGGACAAACCCAACCAGTGAGTTAAAAAAGTGTCATTTAAATTGAATTGAAATAAACAACAACAACTCAATGCTGGGTCAAATATGGACAAACGCATCCATTGGATTATAAAGTGTCATTTTAATTAAATCAAAATGTCAACCTAACATTGAGTCAAATATGAACACAATCATTGGGTGAAAATAAAAGTGTCATTTAATTTTACAGAAACAAATACTTCATTGACAGTTGAATTGAAAATAAGCCAGGCTGGTTAATCTTAATCTGAACATAAAAGAAAAGTGCAAAACATCATAGCAAACTTCCACATTACATTAAGTAAATTACATCATTGAAGTGACATAATATTGTAATGTAAAACTTTTACAAGTAACTTTAATCAACATTAAATGGGTCAAATATGCACAACCAGAGTTTTTTTGAGGAATGTTTTATACGAAACGCTACAAAGCTTTGATCATAACACCAAGCATCTGAATGTCATCTCTGAGACATAATATTGAAGATCTAGAGTGACAGATAATATTCATATACATTTTTCATGTACTGATTTACATGACAAGCTTTCAGAATTTCTTCTCAGTTTCTGGCTTTCATCTTACTTTCAATTTCATCTTCCTTTCATCTGCACCAAAGTGCATATTTATATATACATAAACCGCCTCTGAAATAAAGTCCAGCTGTTTATTCCTGTATATCATGCTATATGAGTCATAACAGCTTATGAAACAAACATAATACAGATATATGAGGATATTCTCCATTTAAAAAAGGGGATGTCTCTCTGTTGTTTTAACCCAACGCTCAGTTGAATGTGGTCAAATGTCAACCATAGGCCGGATCCTCGTCTCCAGTAACCTGGCATAGATTATAAATTACTATGGTATTTTTTATGTGGCGACAACCAATCATTTAACCCAAGCTCATTCTGGAAACATAGCCCCGCGGACATTTCTGGAGACCGCAATTTACGTGGCCGGAGGTACGTATGGCCGCGTTTAGGTTTTTTTCATCGAGGGAACGCTGCGGGGCAGTGTGACGCTGCTCCGCTCCTCCTCTTCGCGCTTGCCGGCTGACGGCTCGCCTCCGTGTGGAGGGCTTTCCCGCCTCAAGCAGTTTGTACGCTTAGCTCGCAGCGTTACGTCGGGGGAGCGGAGGCCTGAAGAGCTGTTCCAGAAATCAGGTAAGATGAAAAACAGAAACCAAAAAAATAAAAGCGAACGAGTTCGCGACGGGGCGAGATCCGAAAACGTGGTCAAAATCGGACAAGGGCTTTTGCTTTTTTTTCTGGACGGCTTTTGCAAATCGTCGCTTGGGTTTAGGGAAGGAGGAGGAGGAGCGCGGCTGGGTCGGCCGATTGGCCGCCTGGCCGCCCGGTCGATCATATAGTCGTTCAGTCAGTCAGTCGGACGGATGGCTGCTGTTTTCACGCGAGAACAGCGCGGGCGCGAACGGTGCACGCTTCCGAGAGGCGTCCGAGACGCGAAAAAGCGTGCACAGGTGCCTCTTGCGGATTCACGAAAACAAAAACTGCTCGAATACGTACCTCCCGGGATGTATTTCGCGGTCTCCAGAAACGTCCGGGGGCTACGTTTCCACAATGAGCTCGGGTTGCAATCTTTGGCTCAAATCTGAACCAGTTCAGCTGACCATTTTTTAATCCTTTTTTATAATTTTGTCTCATTGTTCGTGTTATTTCCCCGTCTATAGTGTAAATGTCGTAATAGTTAACATCTTCATCAAAAAGTAAGAGCCTGTAATGACCCCTGCTAACTCTCAGCTAATGTTTTTCTATTAGAAAGCAATAAAATATGTCTTAACCTGCTGACTAATAACCAGCTTTCCTCATCAATTATTAAAATGCATAACCTCTGTGTTCATGCATGACTGTAAACCTCATGAATATGCATGTCTAGCAAATGCATATGCATTAATGTAGTTCAGCATCGACACATAAAGCTACAGTGCTGCTGTTGTTTTCACTTTATCTAAAACGGAACTATATTCTTCAACCTGCGGCTGTGTAATACATCCACACGGCCACTGACAACGTTATAGATCATAGAGCATTTCTTTAATGCTAAGAGAAACACATTCAATAAAGCGTGAACTCATATTTTAAGGGAATGTGTGCTAAAGGCGCTGCTCTTGCTTATTGACCCGTCAGAACCAAAGAAATCTCTAATTTTTCTAGTTAGACTTAAAGGGGCTGAATGTTTGATTTATGTGTTTTAATTTCTGACCATTCTCTGCTTCCCGGACAGTCATTTATTTGCTGAACAGAAAACAGTTTGCTGCAAGAACACAGTTGTTTATAATAAGCAAACATGGTAACACTGACAAACACATTGCTTTTTTATGCACCGATCCATTTTGATGAATTAGATTATTTTGCCTTTAAATAATGTGTTGCTCAGACAGCCATTACACTTTTAAATATTTGTTTCATTCAGTGATGGATTAATTGCATAATAAACAGCGTTACTAACAGAATAACTTTTTCCAGTAACAAGTCATAAAATACATGACTGTTTGCCCCATTACAATGCCATTACTGTTACTGACAATAAAATGCGACATTAAATAATTGATATATAATTTGAAACTGAGCTCACTGACATGGTTTTCATCTGACTCTGTTGGCCTGCTCTGCTGTGCTTGAGTGGGGCACATAACTGATGATGGTGTGTGCGTAGGGGTGGGACAACCACATAACTTATGATGATTGGCTAATGTGTGTAGGGGTGGGACAACCACATAACTGATGATGATTAGTGTGTGTGTGTAGGAGTGGGGCAACCACATTACTGATGATGATTGGCAGGTGTATGTAGGGGTGGGACAACCACATAACTTATGATGATTGGCTAATGTGTGTAGGGGTGGGACAACCACATAACTGATGATGATTAGTGTGTGTGTGTAGGAGTAGGACAACCATATTACTGATGATGATTGGCAAGTGTGTGTAGGGGTGGAACAACCACATAACTTATGATGATTGGCTACTGTGTGTGTAGGGGTGGGACAACCAAATAACTGATCATGATGGGCTAAAAACAAAGAATGTTTTATAATATTAATGTATGCAATTTAGCGTAGAGTAATATTTTCATTCATTCATCCGTTTATTCTTCTTTGGTTTAGTCTCTATTTCAGGGGTCACCACAGCAGAATGAACCGCCAACTATTACAGCATATGTTTTACCCAGCGGATGTCCTTCCAGCCAGGCGACGCAGTAGCCCAGTAGGTAGTGCTGTCACCTCACAGCAAGAGGGTCACTGGTTCGAGCCTCGGCTGGGTCAATTGGCGTTTCTGTGTAAAGTTTGCATGTTCTCCCTGCGTTCGCATGGGTTTTCTCTGGGTGCTCCGGTTTCCTCCACAGTCCAAAGACACACGGTACAGATGAATTGGGTAAACTAAAATTGTCCACAGTGTATGAGTGTGAATGATTGTGTATGGATGTTTCCCAGAGATGGGTTTCAGCTGGAAGGGCATCCGCTTTGTAAAAACATATGCTGGATAAGTTTGTGGAAAAATGAATGAATGAATGTCCCTCTAGCCACAAGCCAATACTGGGAAACACCCATACACAGTCATTCAAACACACACACTAAAACACTACAGCCAAATTTGTCTACCCAATCCACCTATACAGCATACCTTTGGACTATGGGGGAAACTGGAGCACCTGGAGGAAACCCATGCTAACACAGAGAGAACATGCAAACTCCACACAAAAATGTCAACTGGCCCAACCAGGACTCCAACCAGCAACGTTCTTGCTGTGAGGCCACAGTGCTAACCACTGAGCCCCCAAAAAACTAATTATTATTACCAATTTAAACACTTTACTACATATTGCCAGGTCTTCGTGTGATTAGTCTTCAAACATGCTGTATGGACTATTTCGTAAAATATCTGATAAACTGAATAATTTCGAACTCCAAGAGGACGACTCTAAATCTCCAAATCTCAATGAGGCAAGAAATTCACTGCAAGCCCACTCCCTCTGCCAAATGCCATGGGAAAAAATCCCAGCCTTTCACTTTTACAGCTTATATTTTAATGGCTTTCAATTAGTCACATTATATTAATATACAATTACGTATGAGTGATGATTACAGATAATTTGAGAGTTTAGCTTCATTTGCAAGAGAGCATCATATTTTATTCTGAAGCCTTTGAATTAAATATAGCATTATGTTTAGTTAATTTCTTGGTGTATGGAGTTACGCTCAGTGGGAAGATATGCTTAGTTTTTAGGATACAGATGCATGACAGAGGACACTGCAGTATAACAAATACAATTATTGTATTTGAACAGCATATACACCTTCCAAGCATTAGAATTTGTGCTTTGATATACAGCAAACTGAAGTTACTGTGATATTCACAATTTAAAAGTATTTAAAAATATATTAATTACAGTCAGGCACGTGCACACATAGGGCTCAACCTGTGGAGGGCATATGCCCTTTTCAGTCTTGGCTAGAAATTGTCCTTCCAAAATTATCAAAAGTGCCCCCGCAACACATCCCCCTCCAGCCCTTCAGTAGTTTCGCAACAACATCGCTCTTGATTATGCGCGCTCACCACCCCCACGGTTTACAGTACGCGCGGCAACACTGCTGATCAGAACGCGCGCGACAACATCGCTGTTCCGTATGCGCGTGGCAACACTGCTTATCAATAAGCGCGCGACAAAACCCCCCACCTCCCCCCCCACTCTTCAAAAAATTTATCCTGCACATGCCCTTTGGACGGTCTCTGCACGGGCCTGATTACAGTAACCACATTTACGAAATGAAAGATAATACAATTAAATTGAAGCAATATATTGCAAAAAAAAAAAAAAAAAAAAAAAAAAAACAACCTACACTCAAAAAGTATTTTTTACTAACTACTACTTATTTAAAATGAGCTGAAACAACACAATTCTTAAGATTTCATTGGGACAACTTAATTTTTGTATGTTCAATCCACATACATTTGTTAAAAGTGTTAAGTTAACTTAATCAATTTGTGTCGGGACAATATGAGTGAATTGTTTGGAACCCTGCATTTTTTTACAATGTACACCATTCCAACTACATTTTTCCATTTTTTCAGTTTTTTATGTGTATTTAATAATTTCAGTACTGACTAATCTAATGTACATGCACAAATATAATTTTGTAAAGCTTCCTATTAAAAATATGAATTTAAAAGATTTGTGAGGGGTGTACGTGTAACAGAGTTACAATTGCACTCTGTTAAAATTATAACATTTTTCAAATTATATTGTGATTTTTATTTATTTAAATATTTTATTTCATATTTGTGCATTTTATCATTTTAAGAATGATTTTGGAGTCATTTTCATTTATTTACTATGGCAGTGTTTAACCTGCACACCGCCCCTTTTTGTACCTCTTGTGTTGCCGTAGTTTGTTTTTTTCCCCTCCCACCCTCACAATGCTGCTGTGTATTGCTGAGGGTAGGTTGTGTAGAGCGTTGCTCCTGATTGTATTTCATATTTCTATCGTTCTAAAGCAAGTGTTTATAATTTTTATGGAAACTATATAACTTATTATATATTATATTATGTATTATATTACAAATATGCTATGTTTTCTATATATTGACAGAAGTGCTAACCGCATGGCAGATCGCCATTTTGTCTGCATGTTGCTTCAGTTCTCAGTGAGAAAACTCAATTATTTTGTGTAAATAGGGGTCGGATGTGCAGTGCAGGCAGAAGACAACATAATTGTGTTTAATTGTCGTCTCCAGGTACGTTTTACTGTCTTTTTGTTTTGTTTGCCTTTTGTTTTACTCAACGCACATTTTTTGTTGTCCACCAGGTGGCTCTGTTGTGCGTAGTTTTTGCACATGCATTTTTGTTTGTAGTTGAGTTTGGTTTCTAATGATAAAGAAATGTTCATTTTCTTGAAATTGTAGAAAAAAAGTGTTTTCCTGCACATTTTAAATTGATAATTTCTAAAAGTGTAATTGTGTATAAATTGTGAAAGTTATCTAATGTAATTACATATATTGTTAAGAAAACAATTCATTTGACCAGTCACAATGGTGCTGTGTATTGCTGAGGGGGTCGGATGTGCAGTGCAGGCAGAAGACAACATAATTGTGTTTAATTGTCTTCTCCAGGACTATATAAAGTGAAGGAAAGCAGCTCTTGGTGTCGTCTCAATTTCATTGAGTGAAAGTAGATCCGTTACATACACATATATGCTGAACACTGTGTGTAATCCTAAACATTTAAACTTGTTTAATTTTTTTTAAACGATATAAAGTTATTTTGGAAATGTTTAAAGCCTAATGTAACAAATGTAAGTTAAGTTAGTAAAGTTATTAAATGGAAATGAAGTTTTAATAGTTTCAAATGAAATCCAACTTAGTATGATCACTTGCTCCCGTATGTATTTTAATAAGTTAATTTGGTTAACTATTGGACAAAAGTGGTTTGTTCTGTTGCCAATGGGAAATAATTTCCCAAAGGGGCTAATAACATTGACCATTTCAAGAGTTCACACTTAGCTCATGACTTACGAAAGCATGTTTGGCATGTTGTCCCAGGAGAGAGCCCTGAGTCAAGAGATCCTCGAGTCCAGGGCTCCCTCCCTTTGTGAGGCGAGGGGAGATTGAGCTCAGGGCGATCTCAAACTCCCCTGCAGCTAAGGCTAAGGTGAACTTCCTGAGAGCAAGACGACTAGTAAAAGAGACGTAGGTTTAAGTGGTCTGTAATCCAGAGCGTATTTAGGCTTTGAGGAAAACGGGAAGCACTGGGGAAAACGTGCCAGCTCCACTCAGAAACACCACATGCTCAATCCTCCGTTTTTACGTAAATCGTGGGCTCCAGAAACGTCCGCAGGGTTACGTTTTCAGAATGACCTATATCAATATATATATATATATATATATATATATATATATATATATATATATATATATATATATATATATATATATATGCGTGTATGTAGTGATATTACTGTTTAGTGTGTGTTATATATAGCCTTAAAATAGCTTTCACATACAGTGTTGTGTTCTTTCATTCAATTTATTTTCGGCTTAGTCCCTTTGTCCCTTAATCTGGGATCACCACAGCGGAAAGAACCGGCAACTTATCCAGCATATGTTTTACACAGCGGATGCCCTTCCAGCCACAACCCATCTCAGGGAAACATCCACACATATTCATTCACACTCATACACTACGGACAATTTAGCCTACCCAGTCCACCTGTACCACGTCTTTGGACTTGTGGTTGGAAACAAGTATATGGACTGAATTTAAACAAATGAAATGTAGTAACATTTAAATTAAATTTTTTTTTTAAATATTTTTTTTTATATCGACTTGATATGACTTGACTTCTGAGTCTCTTTTTTTAATTGCATAAAAGTCTGAGCTGCTTTTCCTATCAGCTGTGAGTTCATCGTGGTTTTGAGAGGAAAATGTCACGCGAGCATCACCTCCGGGAGCAGGACTCTGTGTAGAAGGTGACCTTTCTTCGCTCATCTAGAAACATCTGTCTCCAGCGCACTATCTTCACAGACACACGCTGCTAAAAGCTCCTCAATTAAGCAGATCCTCCACCCGCAGAGGCCTGAACACACGTCTGCGGGCACAAATGTCACAGCGCATCAAATCAACTCCACACATCGATTAAGCAGCTCAAGAGCGTCTGCGCATCGATTCTCTTCACAAGATTCGCAACGGAAATAACTGTTATTTGTTATTGACCGAAAAAGAAAAGCCTTTTAGAGTCGCTCTTCAGAGGAGAAATGCCTCAGATAAAGCTTGATGAGTTCCAGAACATCAGCAACTGGTTGGATTTTTTCATCATTTAGTGATTTATAGTACATACTGTAGCGTTTACAAGCCATACTACTGTAAAATACTTAAGTTTATCTATTGTGGTGACACACCAACTTTTGTAATTGATCTGTTGTGGTGGTTTTATAGTTGCTATAGTAACACAACAACTAAAGTATTTGATCTGTAGTGTTGATTATAAAGTTGCTATGGTAATGCAACAACTAGAGTAATTAATCCATTGTGGTGGTTCTATAGTTGCTATGGTAACACAACAACTATAAAAATTGATCTGTTGTGGTGTTTCTTAAGTTGCTATGGTAACTCCGCTATAAAAATTTATCTGCCGTGGTGTTTCTAAAGTTGCTATGGTAACTCAACAATTATAAAAATTGATCTGTTGTGGTGTTTCTAAAGTTGCTATGGTAACTCAACAACTATAGTAACTGATCTGTTGTGGTGGTTCTATAATTGCTTTGGTAACGCAACAATTATAGTAATTGATTTGTTGTGGTGTTTCTAAAGTTGCTATGGTAACACAACAGCTATAGTATTTGATCTGTTGCAGTGATTCTAAAGTTGATATGGTAACACAACAATAGCAACTGATCTGTTGTAGTCATTCTAAAGTTGCTATGCTAGTAAACGATATGTTGTCTAAAGTTGCTATGGTAACACAACAACTACAGTAATTGATCTGTTTTTGGTAATTCAAAAGTTGCTATGGTGACAAAAAAGCTTAGTAATTGATTTGTTGGGGTGATTCTAAAGTCACTATAGTAACACAACAACTATAGTAATTGATCTGTTGTTGTGATTCTGTAGTTGCTATGGTAACACAACAACTATAGTAATTAATCTGTTGTAGTGATTCTATAGTTACTATGGTAACACAACAACTATAGTAATTGATATGTTGTGGTGTTTTTAAAGTTGCTATGGTAACACAACTATGGTAATTGATCTGCTGTGATGATTGTAAAGTTGCCATGGTAACAACAACTATGTAACTGATCTGTTGTAGCGATTCTATGGTTGCTATGGTAACACACCAACTATAGTAACTGATCTATTGTCAGGATTCTATAGTTGCTATGGTAACACAACAACTATAGTAACTGATCTGTTGTGGTGATTCTATAGTTGCTATGGTAACACAACAACTTTTAATTGATCTGTTGTGGTGATTCCATAGTTGCTATGGTAACACAACAACTCTAGTACTTGATCTGTTGTGTTGATTCCATAGTTGGTATGGTAACACAACAACTATAGTAACTGATCTGTTGCGGTGATTCTATAGTTGCTATGGTAATATAACAACTAGAGTAACTGATCTGTTGTGGTGAATCTAAAGTTGTTATAATAACGAAATAACTATAGTTATTGATCTGTTGTGGTGATTCTATAGTTGCTATGGTTGCACAGCTACACTGCATAACCCAACTATCCTAGCAAAGCGACACATTGACAACCCATTCAGTTAGAGGATCTCTAGTTCAGGATATTTGTGAGTTTCCAGGTGTTAATGAACAAGCAGACACTTCAGTGCTGCAGGACGCTGTCGTCATGGTGATGCAGACCAGGTCTTTGCAATTAGTCTTGGTAATTAATGGCGTGTCATTAGTGTCTGCTTCACTGCTAGCCGCCAGCGGCCACATGCACTGTCATTTCTTACATTCATCATGATTAATCTGCAGATGAGATGAGTCTTACAGCACGGCTCTGGTCCTCATGCTTATTGGCAGATGAATTTGTTTAAGTTGGCAACTGCAACGCAGATCTGCATTTAGTAATGAGTCCATCTTCATCATCCGACTGGAGGACATCTCTCAACACGCTTTAAACCACAGCCGACTTATCATTCCTATGGAAAAAACAAAAATGATGAATAGACACTAAAGCAACGAATAAATGGATGAATATATAATATACAGTTATATAAACAGCTTTTATACATAATATACAGTTAGTTTCAATAGAAAAACAGTGTTCTATTTGTTTACATTAGCTAGTAAACTTTAACAAACAATGAAAAAACGTTTAATTCTGGTATTAAATTCAGCATTTATGAATATGATATTACAAATGATATGTTGTTTGTGTTTTTTATTTTATTCAAGGAACCTGAACTAACATTTAAAGGTGCAGTAGGTAATCTGCCACAATGCTAGCCTGTTAGCATAAATCTCTGAACCCCTGCCGTTCAAAGCCACGCCTCCTGAAAACACAAGCGCACGTCCCTTAGTGAAAATGACAGCAGAATCCTCTCTCATGTGTTGAGCCAATGCTGAAGCCTGGTTTATACTTCTGCGTCTAGTGACCGGCGTAACCCACGGCGCTTTCAACGCACGTAGACTTCTGCGCGCTGTCTCTGTTGGTCTGCATTAACTCTTCCGAAACGCTAGTGGGCAGTGAGGTGTAAATGTTCTCTGTGTCGAGTTTCTTTGCTGCTGTTTTGCTTTTCCTGAACACTTCCAGGATGTACAAGTGGCTCGAACTCGCTCATTTTGAGGCAGGAACCGGCAGACGTGCAACAACTTTAACCATGAGGTAAACACAAAACAAAACTTTCCATCTGGAGCTCCTTCACGGGACTCCAAAAACCAAACAAACAATTGCTCCATCAGGCTCGAACCATTCACGCGGCTCTCGGTCCCGCCCAGACTCGTCAGCTCTACCAAGCTGACCAATCACAGAGCTTGCGCTACGCGTCGTTGCGACATGTAGTTACATTTTAGAGAGAGGTGCCGGCTTCGATTACACTCATTAATACAGTCATTTCTAACTAACATGCTACTTCTGTCTGAATATTCCGAGTAGCAGTAAAAACCATAGGGAGCGCGTCACTGGCTGTCATTATTCAAAAATGAACCAATATAAATTTAAATCCATCTTAAACTCAGTAAAGTAGGCTAGGCACAATAGTGCTGTTTACTGATGTTTTGTTGCTAAACTAAATAAATCTACATTATCGATGATGTAAAAGGCCCTTATGAAACTGAAAATAGTCACATCAATCTCACACCAGAAGATTTCAGTGGCTGAACAACACTTTCATGCCTATATCTCTCTATAGCTCTGTGTGACAAAAATAGTTTCAAAACAGAACATCACCTGTCTAAGAGAGCCCTGCATTCATATATAACGTCTTTGAAAAGCATCTGCAACTTACAGAAAGCCCCTAAAAGTTGTTGACATCCTCGGGCATTAGTGTGATCCAGGCCATGAAAGCTTTCCATTACAACTCAAACCGCAAACCTGTGTTCAGATGCACTATACTTTATACTTCATTCTCAAACACACACAAACAAACACAGATGTTAAACTAGTGAAACAAAGCCAGCGAAGGGCTGAAATCACACACCGCTGTTATGTAATGAGATTTACACTGCGGTAATAACAAACAGAGCTCTTTCAGTAGAGGATGGAGCAGAAATACGGGCTTGTTTGAGAGAAATAAACACAAGAAATGAAATATTAGGTGTGCTTTAGGATCAGAGCAGAGCACAGAGAACTGTTATTGACGTGCATCATTAATATGTGCTGCGAAAGCTCATCATAAACACTACTTTCTGAAGAAACTGAGAGCTCACATCTGAGAGCTTTTCCTCAGCTTTTCCTGCTTTGAAGCAGTGTTGTGCTTCCGGATGAGTTGCGGAGAAACACGTCTGGACTGTTGCACCAAATAAATCACCTCAGACTAAGAATATAAAGCCATTTAGCTGGCATTCTGAGGGTATTTAATGACGATTAAAAACACATTTTCATCCCAAATTCTTATTATTGTAATATAATATGTTTGCCTATTGAGTTTTGTCCTTATTAATTGCACTATATTAGTGTGTGGTGATAATGAGAATCTAATGAGAGTTATAATTGGATGCTTAAAGTTGGAATGACATCAACATTTACTCTTCATATTTGTATTGTGGCACTTATATAAACTATACTATCAGTCATTTTGGGCGGGGCGATGAGGCATTTAGGGTGGAGCTATCTGTCATTTTGGGCAGAGCTATTAGTAATTTAGGGCGGAGCTACCAGTCATTTAGGGTGAAGTCATTTAGGCAAGGGCTATAAGTCATTTAGGGTGGAGCTATCAGTCATTTAGGGTGGGGCTATCAGGCATTTAGGGTGGAGCTATCAGTCATTTAGGGCGGGGTTATCAGGCATTTAGGGTGGAGCTATTAATAATTAAGGGCAAAGCTATCAGTAATTTAGAGAAAGGCTATCAGTCATTTAAGGTGGAGCTATCAGCAATCTAGGGCCGGGCATAGGTCATTTAGGGAGGAGTTTTTTTAGGGAGGGGCCATCAGTCATTTAGGGTGGGGGTATCAGTCATTTAGGGAGAGGCTATCAGTCATTTAGGGTGGGGCTAAAAATCATTTGGGGAAGGGCTATCAGTCATTTAGGGTGGAGCTATCAGCAATCTAAGGCCAGGCATGGGTCATTTAGGGTGTAGGCTTTTAGGGAGGGGCTGTCAGTCCTTTAGGTGGGAGCTATAAGTCATTTAGGGAGGGGCTATAAGGCAATTAGGGTGGAGCTATCAGTAATATAGGGAAGGGATATAAGTAATTTAGGGTGGGGCTATCAGTCATTTAGGGAAGGGCTATCAGTCATTTAGGGAGGGACTATCTGTCATTTAAAGCGGAACTATCATTAAATTAGGGCGGAGCTATGAGATCTTTAGGGTGAAACTATCAGTCATTTAAGGAGAGGCTATCGGTCATTTAGAGAGGGGCTATCTGTCATTTGGGCGGGACTATCAGTAATTTAGGGAGGAGCTATCAGGTCATGTCTTGTGCCTGGGCAATCTTCTTTCTTTTGTTTTTGTTACAATGCCCATCTTCCCAAAGGATGAAATCATGCACTGCCCTATATTGTCGTCTAATTTCAGGACCATTTCAAGAGGATGTACATCATGATAGTGGAAAAAGGACAATCTTAACTTCTGCTTCATGGTGACTGTAACATAAGGAATAATGCTATTAAATAAATTATTTTGGAAACTGAAAGTTTGTATAAAGGTAAAAAAGTTTACTAACTCTAAAAACATATTAGTATGCGACAATAGTTGCATGGTTAATTCAAATGTTTTCCCCCACAGATCAAAGCTAACTGGCTGTGATGTTTGAATAAGAGTGTTTGTGTGTTTCCCAGCACTGACGTTTTACTCTGGTTAGGGGCTGGAAGGGCATCTGCTGTGTAAAAACCAATGCCAGAGTTATTGGTGGTTCATTCTGCGGTGGTGACCCCTGATAAAGCAGATATTTAGGCAAAGGAAAATGAGTGAGAGTAAGTAAACGCCACATACTGTACAGCCCCAGAATTTTACAAACTTGCTATTTTGTTGCATCCTGACAATGCACAATCCAAAATGAGTAAACTCTGAAGATAACTGAACGACGGTGTTGTGTGAAGCTGTTGTCCATCAGATGACATACCGACGTGTCTCATCGATCTGCTGACAGAGGAATGAGTGATGTTGAGTCAGATCCGCAGGGACTGGACCCGCAGCAGGAGCCGCAGACACACCAGCAGATCCATCGATGGATCATTTGACTGTAGGTGAAGAGAGAAGAGCAGGACGAGCGATGACTCTCTGGAGAACAGCGGAGAAACACTGTCACGCATGACAAACCATAATAAACACACTGCTGAGTAATGCAGGCTCCATCAGCTTACACATCCCACATGGAATAATACTATAGTCCTTTATAGTGAATACTATAGCACTTTTATAATTATACTACAGTAAAACACTTGAATTGACCTGTTGTGGTGATTCTATAGCTGCTATGGCAACACAACAACTATAGTAATTGATCTATTGTGGTGATTCTAAAGTTGCTATGGTAACACAACAACAATAATTGATTTGCTGTGGTGATTCTACAGTCACTATGGTAATATGACAGCTACAATGATTGATCTGTTGTGGTGATTCTATAGTTGCTATGGTAACATAACGACAACAGTAATCGATCTGCTGTGGTGATTCTTCAGCTGCTATGGTAACACAACAACTATAGTAATTGATCTGTTTTGGTGATCCTATATTTGCTATCGTAACAGAACAGCTACAAGGATTGATCTGTTGTGGCGATTCTATAGTTGCTATGGTAACACAACAACAACAACAACAACAGTAATTGATCTGTTGTGATGATTCTATAGTTGCTATGGTAATACAACAACAACAACGGGAATTGATCTGCTGTGGTGATTCTGCAGTCGCTATGGTAACAATGACAACAGTAATCGATCTGCCGTGGTGATTCTACAGTTGCTATGGTAACACAACAACTGTAGTTATTGATCTGTTGTGGTAATTCTATAGTTGCTATAGTAACACAACAACAACAACAGCAACTGATCTTTTGTGGTGATTCTGCAGTTGCTATGGTAACACAACAACTATAGTAATTCATTGCTGTGGCAATTATACAGTAGCTATGAAACAACAACAACAACAACAACAATTGATCTGTTGTGATAAGTCTATAGTTGCTATGGTAACACAACAGCTACAATGATTGATCTGCTGTGATGATTCTATAGTTGCGATGCCAACACAACAGCTATTGTAATTGATCTGTTGTGATAATTTTATAGTTGCTATGGTAACTCAACAAAGACAATGATTGATCTGTTGTTGTAATTCTATAGTTGCTATGGTAACATGACAACTACAATGATTGATCTGTTGTGGTGATTCTATAGTTGCTATGGTTACATTACGACAACAGTATCGATCTGCTATGGTGATTTTACAGTTGCTATGGCAACACAACAACTATTGTAATTGATCTGTTGTGGGGATTCTATAGTTGCTATGGTAACACAACAACTATAGTAATTCATTGCTGTGGCAATTATACAGTAGCTATGAAACAACAACAACAACAACAACAACAATTGATCTGTTGTGATAAGTCTATAGTTGCTATGGTAACACAACAGCTACAATGATTGATCTGCTGTGATAATTCTATAGTTGCGATGCCAACACAACAGCTATTGTAATTGATCTGTTGTGATAATTTTATAGTTGCTATGGTAACTCAACAAAGACAATGATTGATCTGTTGTTGTAATTCTATAGTTGCTATGGTAACATGACAACTACAATGATTGATCTGTTGTGGTGATTCTATAGTCGCTATGGTTACATTACGACAACAGTATCGATCTGCTATGGTGATTTTACAGTTGCTATGGCAACACAACAACTATTGTAATTGATCTGTTGTGGGGATTCTATAGTTGATATGGTAATACAACAACAACAACAGTAATTGATCTGCTGTGGTGATTCTGTAGTTGCTATGGTAACATAACGACACCAGTATTGATCTGCTATGGTGATTTTACAGTTGCTATGGCAACACAACAACTATTGTAATTGATCTGTTGTGGGAATTCTATAGTTGCTATACTAACACAACAAAAACAACAACAGTAGTTGATCTGTTGTGGTGATTCTACAGTTGCTATGGTAACACAACACCTACCGTAATTCATAAGTTGTAGTGATTCTATAGTTGCTATGAAGACAACTATAGTGTGTGGATTTTTTAAACAAATAATAAATAAATAGCTTAAATTAAATATTTTAAAATAAACAAATATTGAACATTTATTGTTTTTCTACTTTTGTGCTTTCCCTTATTTCAAGAGTTGACACTTAGACATTGCTTGACACTTGACACATTGCTTGAGGAGAGAACTCTGAGCTCGGAGATAATTGAGCCCAGGGCTACCGCCTGGTCAATGAGAATGTATGGGAGTACGAGATCAGGTAGTTCTCGAGAGCTCCCCCTGGTAAAGGAGGAAAGGGGGAGATAGAGTGGATCAAGGGGGTTTCTTCAGAAAACAAAGACTATGGAGTAGTATTAGCCGGGCTACTTATAGTGAGCTTGGATTAATCTGATTGGCTTGATAATGTTTACAGATGAGAGACCAGCTGCGATCAATCATATCAAGCGCTCCTCTCGAAGTTAGTTTGTGAAACTGTACTTGACGTCACACATAGTGTTGCAAAGTTCACAAATTTCCAGCAGATTTGGACTACTTTTGATATGTGTCTGACACCCCGTACATGTCATGTTTAACATTTATTAACCAATGGTGAATGCCCATTGGGCTAGTTTAAGGGTATTTTTAATTGGCCATTGGGTTAATTTTGTTGTGAAAACCTGGCAACCCTGGTCACATATAATAGAGTAGGATAACATTGTGATATTTTGGCAGACGCTAATAAAAATATCTTAATATTTTGCAAATAAAACATTCTAAACATATATATATATATATATATATATACAGTGGGGATCAAAAGTTTGGGCACCCCAGGTAAAAATTTGTATTAATGTGCATAAAGAAGCCAAGGAAAGATGGAAAAATCTCCAGAAGGCATCAAATTACAGATTAGACATTCTTTTAATATGTCAAAAAAGTTAGATTTTATTTCCATCATTTACACTTTCAAAATAACAGAAAACAAAAAAATGGCGTCTGCAAAAGTTTGGGCACCCTGCAGAGTTAAAATCTTGTACTGCCCCCTTTGGCAAGTATCACAGGTTGTAAACGCTTTTTGTAGCCAGTCAAGAGTCTTTCAATTCTTGTTTGAGGTATCTTTGCCCATTCTTTCTTACAAAAGTCTTCCTGTTCTTTGAGATTTCTGGGCTGTCTGTCATGCACTGCTCTTTAAAGGTCTATCCATAAATTTTCAATAATGTTGAGGTCAGGAGATTGTGAAGGCCATGGCAAAACCTTCAGTTTACATCTCTTGCTGTAATCCATTGTGGATTTTGAGGTCTGTTTAGGATCATTATCCATTTGTAGGAGCCATCCTCTCTTTAACTTTAGCTTTTTTACAGGTGGCATCAAGTTACCATCCAAAATTTGCTGAAATTTTATTGAATTCATTTCTCTTTCTACTCGTGAAATGTTCCCTGTGCCACTGGCTGCAATAAAAGCCCAAAGCATGACTGAACCACCTCCATGCTTAACAGTTGAACAGAGGTTTTTTTCATTAAATTCTGTGCCCTTTCTTCTCCAAACTTACCTTTGCTCATTCCGGCCAAAAAGTTCTATTTTAACCTCATCGGTCCACAGAACTTGTTTCCAAAATGTATCAGGCTTGTCTATATGTTCATTTGCAAAGTTCAAACGCTGTTTTTTTGTGGTGAGGACGTAAAAGAGGTTTTCTTCTGATGACTCCATGAAGACCATATTTGTACAAGTATTTCTTTATAGTGGAATAGTGTACCATAGTTCCAGTGTCTGCCAGATCTTTCTGGAGGGATTGTGCAGTCAATCGTGGGTTTTGACTTGTTTTTCTCACAATCCTGCGAGCTGTTCTGTCTGATATTTTTCTTGGTCTTCCAGATCTTGCTTTAACTTCAACTGTTCCTGATGACTGCCATTTCTTAATTACATTCCGTACAGATGATATTGGCATCTGAATACGCTTTGCTATCTACTTATTAGCCTTTTCCCTTTTTTGTGAGCATCAACTATTTTCAGTTTCAGTTTTCTAGACAACTGCTTAGAAGAACCCATGATGCTGATTGTTGGGGCAAGGTCAGATGAGTTTGGGCATTTAAAACCTTTAAGATTGACATCACTTGGTCTTTGCTGACGATGATTGAGAACAATCCATGACACTGTCAGGTCTCAGATTTCCAAAGGGGGCAGTGCATGCTATAAACTCTGCAGGGTGCCCAAACTTTTGCAGACGCCATTTTTATGTTTTTTGTTATTTTGAAAGTGTAAATGATGGAAATAAAATTTAACTTTTTTGACATATTAAAGGAATGTCTAATCTGTAATTTGATGCCTTTTGAAGATTTTTCCATCTTTCCTTGGCTTCTTTACGCACATTACTACAAATTTTACCTGGGGTTCCCAAACTTTCGATCCCCACTGTATATATATATATATATATATATATATATATATATATATATATATATATATATATATATATATTATATATACTTATTATATATACTCCCGCCCCAACAAAATTTTCTCCCACACTTGCACTGTTTATTTAGTTTATGAATGCAACATTTCGATGTGCATGCAGGTGGTTTTTGCATATAGTGATTGACAGTGTGCACCACGACCCAGTGGTTTCTGCATCTGCGTGCTCACGCTCTGGTCTGCTGGTCAAAGCAATTAAAAAAAACATGGCTTTAATTATCATACCTGGCAGGATGAGACATGCATGAGTGGATGGAAATGCAGCGGAACGAAGCTCCAGGAAACACTGACCAAAATCTGCAGTCCAGCCACAGCACGGATTTACTCAAGTCCTATTTAAGAACTTCAATCACAAACATGTTTGTCCGGCTTCAGTTTATCTACCGATGTTTGTGTGTTTTCCATTCCCGAGGCTTATATGAAATTGTGTCAGTGCACGCTTGCAAGGCTTTACTAGTAAAGGTAGATTTAGAAAGGAAAGGCATTTATATTAAACTCTCAGTGTGTTGCCGAAGCATGAACGATGAAGCAAATCAAAGCCGAACGCACAGCGAGACTCAGAAATATCA